AAGTGTCAGCTAAAAATCATTAAATGAGGGGCTTGTAAAATTGTTGTTGTACATCTGACACAGGACATAAGAACATGAAAAACTGAACTGGGACAAAAAAAAAAAAAAGACGTGTGGGTGTAAAAGTTTTGCCACCTGGTTACATATTCTCTTTCTCAGCTGTTTTTTTCTCTCTCTTAACTTCGGGGTTCAGTATTTACCACCTGTGTGTCCAAAACACAACAAAAGACCAGTGATGTAACACTGGGGCTGACCTTTGACCCGAGGCCAGTCTGCCAGGACAAAGCCTGGTAGGTGTAAAGGTATGCGTGGCCCCAGAAAACAAAGGCTTATAGTGGACAAAATGAATGACACCTGAGTCACATGACTGCAGATCAGAGTCTAGAAGGCCAAACTCTACAAGACACTGCTATTGCAATTTTTTTTGCAATTAATAAAATTTTTTGAGAGAACATGAATAAAATAAAATCCTGTCTGAAGGTCTTAGTGATGGTCCAAACCCTGGATACACCATGGTTGGGTCACGGAAAGCTATTAATCCAAAATTTAAAACAAACTACATAAAAATCACCAACATGACAGAGGAGCCACTAGCTGGGAAAACAAGTGAAAACAAGTGATATGTTTTAAGGGTTATTTGAATTAATCTAGGAGAAAATAATTTTAGCTTTGCATCTTTTCCCTGTTTAGTTTATAAAACAAATACCCAAATAATGTATAAATTGTACAAACACTGAAAGAGGGCAGACTGTAAACCAGGATGTAAAAATAGACAAAAATCAGGTTTAAGTTTATAAGTATTTCCTTTGACTGTATAAAACATAATCTAAGGAAGCCTGGGTGGACCAAATTACTGATGATCTTTTTTTCTCACTTATTGTTTTACATGGAGATTAATTCATTCAGGAGCAGAAGACACGGACCAAAACCGGTTTTCACTCATATTTAGGTTGTAACTATAGATAATCCCTGATATAATGAACAATTGCTCAAACCTCCAGTTTATCCGGATCAGTTAATCATAATCTGACAGCTTTAGACATGGGTTGGGACTCAGTCACTTAGCTCCATATGTTAGCAACATGCTACATAGATCTGAACGTATAGATAAAATGTGACCGGAAGCTACATCGCATCAAAAAGCAGTTATCTCCTACTAGCTCCGCTCAGAAGCATCACCTGGACAGAAGCAGCGTGCTGCAGGTGAGCTCACACCACCTGTCTCAGGTGTTAGCAGCATGCTAATTGCCGGTTAGCTCACGCCGCCAGAAGCCGCTCCGCAGAACTCCCCGCTGAAAAGTGGACATTTTACCGCAAACCACGGCTGGCGGCGTAAAGCCGGCATGCAACCACTCACCTGTCGGCCCCATGCTTCACAGAAACGACAGACTTGGGTTCGGTTCGTGCGGCTCACTGGAGGTAGGCTTGGTGGACAAGGATTAAAGAAGGAGGCGTCACTTCCGCGGAGACCTTTCAAAATAAAGCGAAAATAAAAACAAGTGGGATCTTTTCTGTTTTTAAAAGAGCTTATTAACATGATACAATATTTAAAATGCATCCAGATTTAATAAGTTAATTTAGTGAATAACCAATTTCCCCAAACCGATTTAAGAGGGATTAAGACATTCGTTATTCGATCTTTTATTGTTTCAAGTTTAATATCCCTACAGTCTCCTCTGATTGTGAGAGCATGGTTCTGAACCAGTAAGTGGAACAGATCTTCTAGATCTCATATTATTGTTAACAGAAGAGGTTCCAGTCCCAATGGCAGAAAGGAAAATGAGACCGACAGATGCAACCAAGCATCCCCTGGTCTCTGGTGCAGAAGCAGGCCCCACAGTCAATTCCTGTACTAAGATGCTCAATTTATGTTCCAACCTTCAAATAAGCTTGAGATCTATGGCTGTTTATCCCATAAAATGATAAGTAAACGGGTCCCATTGAAATGTTGGGCAGACACACACAAAGAAAATTCATATACCTTCTTCCTTATAATGTAGCTCCTCGAGGAGCTGTTAGGATAAATGGAGGAGCTTAGTGGAAGGAGGTGCCAGATGTGTTAACATTAAACTCTGGAGTTTAAAACCATGAGGAAATGTCTTTATCTCCAGGAGGGATGAAGTTTCTGCTACTGTTTCAGAAGATTCTTCTTTTTCATAAAGAAAATTTAACTTATTAAAAAAACGAATGTTTTAAGCCAATATTTTATCACTTCTTTATTTAGCCAGTAAAGTGTAATTTTTGAGACCATTAAGGATTAAAAGCACAAAATGTTTGAACTCTAAGTGATTATTCGAACTGGGAAATATGACTTCCATTCAACACATGTCCTGTTCTAACACACTGATGGACTTCCTTCAAAGAAGATGATGACTTTTCTGATTGAATATTAATGGGTAATACAAGAAAGATAAAATAAATGTAAAAATCCTGAAACGATAGAAATGTTTTTAGTATGGCAGATATGATCATTTTCAGGCTTGTAGTGCCCCCTGCTGATCAAAACACTAAATGCACCAAACCCAATAAAAGAAGTTGGTTACCTGTCTCATATTTTACCTCTGTTGTCCAGGTGACCCGTCCCCTTTTTTTGGGCACTCTGACTCAAAAAAACACAATGAACTGAGGGCAGAAAAAAATTTTTTAAATTTGGTCCTGGTCCTTAAGGTCTCTGAATAGGGTGTTTAACATTGGTCTGGCTGAAAATGACATATTTGTTGTTCTATGAGTCCTAATTAAAGCAGGTTATAAGCCTCACAATGAAACAACAGATTTTTCTTCTTTTTACGGTATGCTCATGAATATTTAGATGAGCTGTGCGCTGATTGGTTCGTTTACAACGAGCAAAGCTGCTGAGCAAAGACGCATCATAGCAACAAGCACTAACTGAAACATCAAATTGCTGATATGGTAGGATGACCAGACATCCTCTTTTTAACGGACATGTCCTACTTTTCATACCGAAAAAAATATCCGTGGGGAATTTCAAAATAGTCCAGGATTTTCGTCGACTACAGTGCAGCACGTAGTCCAAACAGGAGCCAGCGAGGGATGGAGCGACCCGGTGACAGTAGCTTGGACTACGGCGGCCCGATGCTTCCCCCGCCTACCTGGTAAGGCACAAACCGTCACCGGGTCGGGTTTGGTCGCTCCGTCCCTCGCTAGGGCCCGGTCCAGTCCAGTCAGCGGACAAGCAGCACCCCCTGGGGCGTGACAAAAGTACAGGCTAGAACGAAATAAGACAACATCCCCGAATTGACGTCAATTCGGTGCTTCGTTTGGATCCGCCCATTTTATGGTTAAGGTTTAGAATTGTGAGATTTGCAGAGACAGGAGGTATATGACAATGTAAACTTGGTTTTGCATTCTATTCTATTTAAAGGTGAACTCTAAAGTCACTAGTTTTGCAGCTCTGCGCTGCCGCAGCGCAAAAGATGTCTGCCTCTACAAATACAAACTGACTCCTATAATTATAAATGTAATTATAAATATCAATGTCTAAGGCAAGGAAAACATCAATATTGAAACTTTCAGTTCATAGGTGATAAACAACATACATATAGGTTATATATAACATTTATGTCAGTAAATCCCTGTACTTATTACACACTGTCCCTTTAACACAGCACAAAGAAGACAAACACTCTGCACTCCCTGCACTGGTTCTACAAATGTTCTCCACAATATCTTGTTCAGATTAGCAAATGTAACTGGGTTTGGACACCAAGTATTCAGTGAGATCATCAGTCTTTGGGTTAGAGACAAAACTCCCAGCGTATTTACAGACTGACCTGCATCAATTCTTGAAAGAGACAACAGCATCATTTATGAGTTGATTCGTGAATAATCATACAAACCTCCCAGTCGGATGGAGCTGACATGCAGATCTGTGGAGAACTGGGAGCTGCATCTGGATGTCTTTTTCTACAAAGTTGAACAAGTGAAAATATGAACTTTGAAGCTTCTGCACAGGTACAGATAATATTTGAGCAAATAAGCTGTCCTGATCGAAAAAATGTCTCTGCTACGCCCTCAGGTTGCTCTAAACTACATTAACCATGATGCAATGAGACAGCTCAGCCATAGAGCTTAAGCACATTTTTATTCATAGATAAATGGAAACAACAACCTAAAAAACAAAAAATAATATTACAAAAACATTTAAAAGAGAACAGAACCAAAAAATGTAATATATATTGTAGTCAAACATGTTTGATGTTTCCTCAGACCACAGAGAAAGGGAGACAAAGTGGAACAGCAGATCTGGAACAGTTATAGTCCACAAAATGCTGCCAGACCTCAATGAATTTATCAACTTTGTCCTTAAGGGAAAAACTAATCTTCCCCATTTGCAAAATGTTTATTTCAGTCACCAACATTTGGAAATGTGGAATTGTAAGGTTTCCATAATTTCGATCCAATACATTTTTCATTCTCTATCTGCAAACCAGCTGCGATCTTATGTTTCAGCATTAAGGTTCCAAATGTTCTCCCCATGGTGATGTCATTCACCAGCCTTAAGGTTCTAAAGGTTGGTGAAGATTCTCAGTAATCCAAGTCATAGTCATTCCGGAAAATAAAATTAAAAACAAACCTCTGGACTTTGTTTCCAAGTTTGAAGACGTTTTGCTTCCCATCCAGGAAGCTTTTTCAATTTCAAGTGTCAGGAAAAGTATTGAGTTCGAAGTTCTGAAGGTTCTCGCCATTATGCTCTTCTCTTTTGGTCCCAAGATGTAAAGGGGAAATGAAATGGTTAACCAAACTTAATTCATTAGATTGTGTCTTTCTATCATTAATCAATCTATTACAAACATTAAAAAATATCAACATTTAAAAAATGTAAAATGGTTTTATAATTGTTTGGCAACAGTGTCGCAATGTTGAGCATAGGCACCGCCTCCGGCGTGCATCCCCCCATCCCTGTCAATAAGTGGGTCGGTGTAGATGGAAAAATACCAAGGCCAAAAATCGTTCCCAGTCTGAGCCTGGCAGCAAAGAAGCTCCCCTGCAGTACGTGGTCCAGGTCAGCCTCCTGACAACAGATAGACTGGAGGATACAGAGCGAACCAACCCTGTGACATCACCACTTTGAGTACTGCAACATGGCAGCACCATTGCCAAAAAATTATAAAACAATGCTTCGTTTTATCATCTAAGTTAACATGTTTCACATTTGTAATATGATTATTGATAATAATAGACACAATGTTATTTGGTCAACCATTTAATTTCCACTTTGAAATGTTTTCCTCAATCTGATGCTTTGTGTCAGTTTAAAAGTTCTCCCTATTGAAATCGTATCTGTTGGCTTTAAGGTTTTACAGGTTCTACCTATTTCGTTCTTAGCTGTCAGCCTAATGGTATATCTGATGTGGTGGTCTAAAGGTTCTGCTCACTATGATCTCTCATGTGTACGGCCAGCTTGCTGCTCTGAGTGAAGCTTTTTTTGCAGAAGCTGCAGGAATATGGCCGCTCTCCCGTGTGCGTCACCATGTGCGCCGTTAACGTCCGATTTTCTGAGAAACTCCTCCCGCAGATGCAGCAGGAGAACGGCTTCTCACCGGTGTGGGTCCTGATGTGGGTGGCCAGGTTGCGTTTGTCTGTGAAGGCCTTGTCGCATCTGTCGCAGGAAAACGGCCTTTCGCCAGTATGGGTTCTGATGTGGGCGGTTAAACTGCGGTTTTCACTGAAACTCTTTCCACACATCTTGCAGGAATATGGCTTCTCCCCTGTGTGCGTTCTCATGTGTGTTGTGAGATGGCAGCTCCGAGCGAAGCTCCTGGTACAGATGGAACAGGTGTAAGGTTTCTCACCGGTGTGAATTCTGATGTGGACCAACAACTCGTCGCTCCTGATGAAACCTTTGCCACACACCTTGCAGGTAAACGGCCTCTCGCCTGTGTGGGTGCGCCTGTGGGCTGACAGGCCACCGCTCTGACTGAAACATTTTCCACAGACGTTGCACAGGTAGGGCTTCTCCCCTGTGTGGGTTCTCCTGTGGATGGTCAGATGTCCGCTGGAGGTGAAGCTCTTCCCACAGGTGTTACAGGTGAAAGGCTTCTCGCCTGCGTGGATCCTCATGTGAAAGGTCAGGTTGCTTCGCTGGCTGAAGCGTTTACTGCAAGTCAGACAGGAGTAGGGTTTCTGTCCTGTGTGGGTCCTTATGTGCACCAGCAGGTTGTCATACTTGATAAAGTTTTTGCCGCAGACCTGACAGGAGAAAGGCCTCTCACCTGTGTGGATCCTGCGGTGAGCTCTCATGTTGTAACTCTGAGTGAAACTTTTTCCACATATGTCACATTGGACTGACCTTTTATCTGGGTTGGTACCAGAGGCTGCCTGCAAAGCTGAAGACATTCCTACACTGTGTTCATCATGTTCCTTTGTTGCTATTAGGTCTTCCATGTCGTCACCTCCTCCCTGATCCTGCTTTGCAGCTTCAGGAGAGCATGGAGTGTGGACTTGACCCTGTTTTGGTTCTGGTTCATCATAGTCTGTGTCCTCTTGAGTGACAGTCACTATGAAGGCATCACTCTCCTCATCCTTCAGTAAAATCTCCTCTTCATCCTCACTGATGCAAACTTCTACATATTCATCTTTGTTCAGCTCAGGTTCTGATTCTTCTTGCTCCTCTTTAATCTGTGGAAGTTCTGGTTCCTCCTGGCCCCGGATGGAACTCATGTCCTGGTCATCAAGAATCTCCCTGTCACTAGAGAAGGAGCTCTGTTGGAGAACTGGCAGAAGAAATAGACAAGAAGACATCTAATAAGACGAAAGTGTGATTAGAAGCAGAAAAATGTGTTTTACTTTTAGAAAGAAGCATCCCACTAATGTCAAAATGTAGCTCCAGACTTTGATTGTTTCCGTCACCTTAAAGGCTGCAAACCTAGATTGCAGTGATGCTGGAGTTTTATGTTACTTTTGGATGGAAAAATGCTTCCTCTTCCTTCTTCTTCTTCTTCTTGTGTTTTATGGTAGTTAGTAAACAACTTAAGATATCTCAAAGAAAAACCCTCTGATTTAGAGTCCAAGTCAAAAATGTATTTTTTTGTTTAACTTTAATTTATTGCTTTGTAATCTATTTATCAATTCATTTCTCTCACTTGCATATTTAGTGCTAAACAATATGACGTGCTCCACTGTTTCCTCATGAAAACAAAAATCACACTTTCCAGTAGTATGTTTCCCTATTTTAAACAACTTGCTATTTAAACTTTTATAGCCAAAGCGTAACCTTGATATCACTATTACCTCCTTTCTATTCCTTGATTTGAACATTATAAAAGCATCTACAAGTTCTTTCTTCATCTTGCTCAAATCCTTTTCATAATTACTGATATTATGTCACCTTTACTAAATGGAATTATTAGATCAATTAAACTACGTTTAGTTGCTTGTTTTGCACATCTGTCAGCCATCTTATAAAATAAATAATTATTCCCATTGTTTAAATTCTAAATAATAATTATTAAAAAGATCAGGTCTCCTGTCTGATTGATTGTGTTTAAATGAAAATAAGCTGAACTAGAATCAGAGCAAAATAAACTTCTTAATTTCTTTAATCCATTCTAATGCCAACATGATCCCAAACATTTTTCCTGTGTAGATTGAAATTCCATCACTGATTCTTTTTGATTTGAAATTCTGGAACTACAAACTAACCACTATTCCTATTATTTGAATCTTTTGAAGCATCTGTAAAAAAAATTAACATAAACATAATATTTGTTATCTAAATATTGCTGAACCTCAAAATGAATCTCAGTGAATCACACTAAATGACTTAGACTTAGATAGACCTGATTATCATGTTGTATACATAGTGAATTATTTTTATAGCTGCAGCTAAGCAGTGAAAAAGAACAGTAAAGTGCAGCAGTGATCAAAACATAAACGGTGTAGGAGAGACATGGTGCAAAAAGGCATTGATGTAGAAGGTTTAGAGCAGTGCAAAATAAATAAATAGATATGGTACAAAATGCAGTAGAAAAGACTAAGTTTATTTCTATTTTTGAAGATTCACTATGTAGTGCAAGTATAATGTTATCAGTTTGATGCAGAGTCTCTTTTTGTGACTTAGAGTTTTAGTATTAGAGTTTTTCAACAGTCTGATGGCCGTGGGGAAAAAACTGTTACAGAAAAGGGCTATGACAGCAAGTGAAGAAGTAGAATACAAATACTGTTTTAGCATGGAAGCTCCGGTTCTAATGCTACGTTCACACCGGACGCAGCAGGCGCAGCAGACGCTGCGAGTTTACATGCAAAGTCAATGGTTGACGCGCATCAAGGCGCAGGAAAAGGTCCCGCAGCGCGTTTTGAGCAGCAGGCGCAGCGCGTTAAGCAGCTGAAGCAGCGCGTCGGGAACGTTTAAGCATCTGACGCGCGTGACGCATCACAAACGCGCTGCTGCTCGAGATGGAAAAATTTTAATTTTGCTGCTCGATGAGCCGCATCAACCAATCAGAGAAGCTGATCTGGGAGCTGACAGTGAGACAGAAACAACGCTGATGACACAGAGCGCTGTGATCGCTCCTCTGAAACAGTTTATTAACGCCTAAATTAACTTAAAATTGCTGAAACCTGCCGGCAGAATATGTTCGCTTTTATTATCCTGGTGCCAGCAGTTTGGATTATTTAGATGAAAAACACCTACCAGTCGCCGCGGTGAACTGCGAGGAGGCGACCCGGCCAGAGGCTGCTGTTGAATGGGATTCCTACTGACAGTGCACCGCTGGTATGTGGGGGTCTGAGCGGCTCCGACAGAAATAATATTAGAAGGTGGGATTGTAATCTGGTTTAAATGACTGCACTGATTAAGTTTTCAGGTGGATTTTCCCACTTAAAAACATATTAAAACTACTTTATTCTCACTGATCACAGCAAATATACAGTAGCTGCAAGGCAAAGAAAGGAAAGAGTAGCTCCGCCAAACGCGTTTCAGAGCCACTTTTGCACCGTGCAGCCAGAGCAGCAAAGCTGCTTCAGCCGCGCGTCAGAACTAACTGGTACAAGCAGCAAAAATGAAGCAGCAGACACGATTTTGCTGCGCCTGCTGTGTCCGGTGTGAACGTAGCATAAGCTGTTATGTGTAACCTTAACCAAAAAAATCCACTGGATATATTTAGCATATGCGATTAATCATTGCTAAAAAAAAAAAAACGAATGCGCAACGGGCCATCTTCACATAGCCAATACTTCATACTGTACATGTAATAGTAAAATAAAAATGCTTCTATTTTTATCTAATTTAGTGTTTGCTAATAAATGATTAAAATCGGATGTATTTATAAAAGCAAATATTCCCCTAAAAAAGATGAAACATCTAATTAAGCTCTGATCAACCTCTCCCAGCAGAGATGTCTTCGGACTGACAGTACCTGCCTTATTCTAGGCACGATTAGAAAGATATTTTAAATGGGAAGTTTTTTTCTAGCCTTATCTTTTTATATATATACAGGTGCTGGTCATAAAATTAGAATATCATGAAAAAGTAGATTGATTTCAGTAATTCCATTTAAAAAGTGAAACTTGTATATTATATTCATACATTACATACAAACTCATATATTTCAGATGTTTATTTTGTTTAATTTTGATGATTACAAATGACAACAAATGAAAATCTCAAATTCATCATATCAGAAAATTAGAATATTGTGAAAAGGTTCAAAATTGATGGCCCCTGGTGCCACACTCTAATCAGCTAATTAACTCAAACCACCTGCAAAAGCCTTTAAATGGTCTTTCAGTCTAGTTCTATAGGCTACACAATCATGGGGAAGACTGCTGACTTGACAGTTGTCCAAAAGACGACCATCGACACCTTGCACAAGGAGGGCAAGACACAAAAGGTCATCGCTAAAGAGGCTGGCTGTTCACAGAGCTCAGTGTCCAAGCACATTAATAGAGAGGCGAAGGGAAGGAAAAGATGTGGTCGAAAAAAGTGTACAAGCAAGAAAGATAACCGCACCCTGGAGAGGATTGTGAAACAAAACCCATTCAAAAATGTGGGGGAGATTCACAAAGAGTGGACTGCAGCTGGAGTGAGTGCTTCAAGAACCACCACACACAGACGTATGAAAGACATGGGTTTCTGCTGTCGCATTCCTTGTGTCAAGCCACTCTTGAACCACAGACAGCGTCAGAAGCGTCTTGCCTGGGCTAAAGAGAAACAGGACTGGACTGCTGGTGAGTGGTCCAAAGTCATGTTCTCTGATGAAAGTAAATTTTGCATTTCCTTTGGAAATCAAGGTCCCAGAGTCTGGAGGAAAAGAAGAGAGGCACTTCATCCACGTTGCTTGAAGTCCAGTGTAAAGTTTCCACAGTCAGTGATGGTTTGGGGTGCCATGTCATCTGCTGGTGTTGGTCCATTGTGTTTTTTGAGGTCCAGGGTCAACGCAGCCACATACCAGGAAGTTTTAGAGCACTTCATGCTTCCTGCAGCTGACCAACTTTTTGGAGATGCAGATTTCATTTTCCAACAGGACTTGGCACCTGCACACAGTGCCAAAGCTACCAGTACCTGGTTGAAGGACCATGGTATCCCTGTTCTTAATTGGCCAGCAAACTCTCCTGACCTTAACCCCATAGAAAATCTATGGGGTATTGTGAAGAAGAAGATGCAATACACCAGACCCAACAATTCAGAAGAGCTAAAAGCCACTATTAGAGCAACCTGGGCTATCATAACACCTGAGCAGTGCCACAGACTGATCGACTCCATGCCACGCCGCATTGCTGCAGTAATACAGGCCAAAGGAGGCCCAACTAAATACTGAGTGCTGTACATGCTCATACTTTTCATGTTCATACTTTTCAGTTGGCCAACATTTCTATAAATCCTTTGTTTTTATTGGTCTTCAGTAATATTCTAATTTTCTGATATGATGAATTTGAGATTTTCATTTGTTGTCATTTGTAATCATCAAAATTAAACAAAATAAACATCTGAAATATATGAGTTTGTATGTAATGTATGAATATAATATACAAGTTTCACTTTTTAAATGGAATTACTGAAATCAATCTACTTTTTCATGATATTCTAATTTTATGACCAGCACCTGTATATATATATATATATATATATATATATATATATATATATATATATATATACATGATTAATATCCCCCAACACACACACACACGCATACTCGTTCTGCTATACATAGTGAGGACCATGCGTGGACTCCCTTTGTCTTTCATTGATTTTCAATCATTTTCAACCCTTTCCCTGCCTTAACCCTAAAACTAATCCTAATTCTAACCATTACCAATGCATACCTCATCCTAACCCTTACCCTAACCAATTGACACCTTAGCCCTAAAGCTAACCATTAGCAAAATAGCATGTGAGGACCAGCAAAATGTCCTCACTTTGCTACAACTGGTCCTCAGTCTGATGGTAAAATCGGAAAAAATAGTCCTCACTCTGAGGGCTAGACAGGTACACACACACACCTAAAGAAGAGATGAGTCTGAACCCTGCAGGGCAGCTGCATCCAAGTGGGGATAGTTCTTATTTAGACGCTGGTTTCGAACCTGTTGTGGTTCTGTTAAAAATACTATGTTATTTACAAAAGTTAAATATTAATCAAATTATATTTACATGGTAAAATACATCAATAAAAACAAAATTAATCTAACGTTATTGCTTAATCCAACTATGCTTTTCAATTTTTCCATCCCTGAAAAAAAAATGTACTGGAGCTGGCATGTGGGAATCAGATGATTCCTGATGGACGCTTCTTTAGTATCAAATACATTTTCATCAGTCATGGCTTATTATTGACTCATTATGTGACCCATCGGAACCGAATCTGAGCAAGTGTAGAATTTTCCAGATCTGATGATCCAACTAACCTGATATATGAGCTCCGATTAAATCAGACCAGGGAAGGTCCAGATTCTGATCATGTTTTTGGGAAGCTGATGTTCACCATATTTGAAAGATACAGAGACTGATTTATGGGCTGCTGATTCTAATATTTTAAATTTTTTAAAGGAAGACACAGAGATTTTCTGTTTTCTCTTATATTAATGAGGAGGCTGGTGTAACCTTCACTGAATATTATAGCTGCTCCTTCATTCAGACCCTCGGCTCCACCTACCTGCTTGGTTCTGTTCGGTTCGGGGTCTCCACCTGATGTCCAGCAGTCTCTGACGGTCGATCTCCTCCTGGTACTGGATGATGGTTTTTTCCACCTCTGAGAAGATTTCTTCAGCAGCAACAGTTAGTCTCTGTCTGATAAACTCTCTCAGAGGCTGAACTGAACACATTGTTGCTGCGCAGACTCAGACTGGATCCCTCCACACCAAATGCTAAGCTAACGATGCTAATAGCTTTAGCTCGTTCTTCTGTTCCAACTGTTGGGAGCGACCTGGCTGCTCTGCCCCCTACAGGACTGGAGTGAGAAAGCAGGAAAATGTTTTTAAGACAAATAGTTTTCTTTAGATGTTTTATCTTTTTTATTTTTTCATGAATAATTTCACATTTATAATCAAATCAAATAATTTAAGTATAGAAATTATAATATTAAAGCATGATAAAATTATAATTTTACAGCATAAAAATATTTTAAATACCATAATTACAATTACTAAAATAACCTAGTCTAGCAGTAATATATAACTTAAATGTGTTATTACCAGAGGTGTCACATAACGAAGTATAAATACTTTGTTACTGTACTCAAGTACACTTTTTATGTATCTATACTTTACTCCATTATTCATTTTTCTTCCTACTTCTGACTTCTACTCATATTTTCACACAAGTATCTGTAATTTTTATTCCTTACATTTTTAAAACAAACGTTACTCAAATTACTCAAGCTAAGAGTTCCATCTTAGCAAAGGTGGGGCCATGCAGCAGGTTCTTTAGCAGCCTTGCAGTTCACAGGTTTTGGGCAGACAGCTAAGTAAATAGATCAGCCTCATAAATCAGCCCAGAAGGAATGACAAAGATTTAAGAAAAAGAAGGAATCCAAAAAAAAACTTGACTGAGATAGCTTGAATGACTCAACTGAATTATTTAATGATAGCAACATTGTATTCATTTTAATAATATTACTAAATTTTATATGCTTACATAAACCCTTATATAAATCTCCCCCCTTTAACACATGCTTTCTCATGTGTCAAAATAACAAGAGTGTTCTATGGGTGTGATGATCTGGAAAGGAAAAGCATTTCCGATATAAGGAAATTTAAAAAGGGCCCCTTATTTTATTTTTTGCAACACTGTTATGAGGTGGGACTTCCTCAGGTGTTGTTTACTGAATGCAATATTATGAAATTAATTATTTTTAGGTATGACAAGGTGGGGTACGAAAGGGGTCAGATTAGAATCGCCCACAGTGTCTTAAGAAATGCTCGGATAGCAGTGTAGTAACCATCACAAACGTGCAGAATATGTGACAATCCTGTTATTACAGCATTTAATTTGGAGAAGAAAAGGTAACTATTGCCAATTTGTTACCAAATTATTGGAGCAATACAAAAATCTACAGTCTCCCTGCTCATCCACCATTCATGGTTAAATAGACAAAGTGGACTGGAAAACACCAGAGTGGGAGCCAATACAAATTTTTCTAAGGCGCCTTAGGTGATATAAAATAATAAAAAAATTAGATTAAATTAAATTTAAAAAAAACTCTCCGGAGGTCATATATTGTGAGGTGAGGAAACAGGCCTGTTTTATATTAGATAATTCTCAGAGATCTCTAACGCAGCACATCATTAAAGAAAGGTACCTATAGATAAGAGAAAGACAGAAAGTTTTGCTATGTTAGGATACCGTATATCAAAGAAAGCTAATTAAACCCTGACCAAACTGTTATTGGGAGTTTTAGTTGCTGGATATCCATTATTAGATGAAAAAGGAATACCAATTTAAACATGAGACCAGTAACTCACCGGAGTAAAACATAAAAAAAGGAAACTAATATAGTCTCTAAAATGTACTTTGTGTGTGTGTGTGTTACTTGCAGTCTGTTGAACCAGGGTCGCTCCAACGGCTCCCTCACTAGTGGTAGAGTGACCTCGCTTCGGTGACTGATATCCCCCTTGCTGAGAATGGCTTCTCTGTCCTCTCTGGCCTCCATGGTAGGGTGGTGGACCCCAATGATGAACTAAGCCTCTGCCACATCCTCCTCTGCCCTCATGTTTTTCATGTGGACAGTTTCTGGCCCAGTGATCAGGTTTGCCACAGATGTAGCAGCAACCATCATTTGGAGAGCTGTTCTTGTCTGAGGGCTGCATGGAGAACAGTTTGAACAGTTTAGTGGCAGTTTTGGAAGAGAGTCAGCTGTGCCTCAGTCTGTTATTTTCTTTTCCCGTTGCACACATTTTCTATCATAATCACTCAAATTGTTCTTATGCCGGCCCCTCCTTGAATGAAGAGCTGGTCCATACGGAGAGCTGGTCCATACGGGGCTGTTTGCAGTCTGTTTAAGATAGTGGCTCCTATTTAGTGACCGTGGAGCAAAGGTGATAGATGGTTCTCCGCTGTTGGCCCCAGAGATACTAAAGTCTGGTTGTGAGTCTAGTTGGAGGTCAAATTACAGTCTTCCTCCTCTGGTTCGGTTCTCTGAGAACCAGGGTAATAAAAGTCGTCCTCTTTTTGAAAAGGATTTGTAGGCTTCGGTTGATAAGGTGGAGGCCGAGCAGAGAGCAGCAGGCCTGTGGTAAACTGGGATAGAGGCTGGAGGTGCTGAATGGTGTCGTTGGAGACGAACCCGCAGCCACAACAGCCGAAGCAGAAGAGTAAAAAAAAAGAAAAGAAAGATGTGCAAGATGTGCATTAGTAAATAGAACAACAGTGAATTTTCTTAAGTTGTTCCTATCATTATATTATATTATATCATATGTTATATTCTATTATAAGATATTTTTATTTATCTTTTTTTTTTCTCTTATTTTGAGCACTCACAATTACTCCGGATCATTGCTTTCTCTTTTTATTTTGTTGCAACACTTGGTCTACTTTTTCAAAACTCGGTCTAAAAAAGACTTAACATCAGCCTATTTAAGACCTACTATTGGTCAGTCTTTTGACTGCCTATTTAATTTTATAACAATATTTTTTATTTTTACCTTTAAAGGAGTTTGTTAGTTTTCTTCCTCTCTCAGTCTCCTGAAGTTATTGTCCTCCTGTCGAGCATCAGAAGAGTCCTCCTTCTCTGAAATGGCCTATTTGAGGTAGAGGAAAAACCCATATGGTTTTGTTAATTAGCCCTTCTTCTAGAATCCACCGAGCAGACGGATCAGCGAAGGATTCTGTTCTCGTGACGCCAAATTGTGCAGTAAAAATGAGCACTGAGAGTTGATATGCAAGGAACAAAACGTTTTATTTTACTCTGAAGAGGAGAATGGCACAAACCAGCTGAATACAGCTGAGTGCATTCAGAAACACACCCCTACATTTAAAAAAAATCCACAGCAGACACACACATGAACATTGAATCTTCCCAAGAGAAACACTTTCGTTCATCAAAGGACATAAATGTGCTCAGATAAACATTTCAGACATCTGTATTCCGTTCACACCAGAAACAGGACAGGAGAATGATAAGAGCATACATTTTAACCATAGCATGAAGGAGGCTTTATGAACTCCTTATTTCTCATGACCTTCCCTTCACCCTTGTCTAGAGTAGGGAGGGGAGGCACCTGCTTTCTGCCCTCCTAAACAGTACAGCATAGTGAATGGAACAGAATCTCTCTATCGTTACTTCTGTTCAAACATTTTATCACACAATATAGGCCAAGGAAAAACCTTGATTCCACAACATTTAAAGAGGCGGTAGACATATTTCCATAAATCCTTTATTTATGGATCAAAAATAATTATACACAGTAAAGTGTTCATTATTAATCACTCAAAGGTTCACTTCCTACAAATTTAAGGTAAAGTGCAAACCTCAGTAAATTAAAGATACTAGCTCTAATTAAAATGGCTTAAAGGTTTTCCAAATTAATGAATGTCATTGATAAGAGGCAACAACTTCAGCTGATGCCACATTGACACATTTTAAATACAGAAGATGTACAATTAACATACCAAATAAAAATCATAAACAGGGGCCCAAAAATTAGTCATTATACAGTTTAATGTGTTTTATGTTTTTCAAGTAAAGTTATAAATCTCATCTCTCGGAGCATTAAAACTAAAAGGTTTTGGCCCAGTTTAATGTCTGGTAACCTGAGGGCACTTTAAGGAATGGAACTGTTCATTTCACTACTAAGCTGCTGCTCATTTACTGTCTGAAAGCTGTACAAAACAACATTTTGTGATAATAAAAGTTGTCAAAGTCTGAGAAAAAGAAGTTAATTTGTTTGGGAATTGGCTTTGCTCCTCTGAACCCGGTTGGCTGATTCTCTACATTAATCTTCCTCTTCGTTCTCAGAGAGATTCAGGATTATCACCAAGTTGTTTCTGTAAAGGAACTCTCCCTGTAACTGTTTTGTCAGGATTTTCAAAACCAGGACTAAATGATTTCCAGTTAGGGAGATTATTTCTGAAGACTTAAAGCAAAGCAAAGATTGAAGTTGATTTAGGTAGGCACCTGGCGTCCGAAAACTGTGCTGCTTTAAATGACCTTTCAGGCGATGAAGGTTCTAATAAACCAGCACCAATCAGACTGGAAACAATTACATCCTCATATATAAAACACAAAAGTAGGTATTTTTAATCAATTTATGCCCTTGTCCACTTTCTAAACAGAACACATTTATCTATGAATCTAGAAGTCTTATGAAGTCGGGGTTCATTCTGTCTAAAATCATCACATTAGTTCCAAAATATGTTGGTTATAATGAAAAATTCTAATATATAACATCTACCAAGAGCCATCGTTTCTGTGTGAAACATAGGCTACGTTACCACGACAGGCAAATAAGGCTTAATCTCTTTTTGACCATATGTGACTTCATGTCTGACTTTAACATGGCAGTCTAAACTCCACATTTCTAATCTTTTCATCTCCTAAAGAATCAGGTTTAAGGCACTTTCATATACACTACTAAATCAGATATGTATCTGATCTTAACCGTCATTTTATCAGCTGTCATGTTTTTTTCCCCCTTCCTTCTTCGCTGCTGATGTGGTCATAATACCACCAGCTCCCATAACTCTATATTCTAAATTAATGAAAATATTTCTGAAGAATTTTGGAGTCTTTGTTTTTATCCTTGTGGTATTGAAACTGGTATCTCCAGTGTTTCAAAACATATAATACTTTCCTTTTTGATAAAGTTGAAGAGTAAAGTCGCTCAGGTTATCATGAGGCATCTTTGTAGTTATGCTACTATAGGCTTTGGCTGCTGGAGGACATGAATACCACTTTCCTCACTCTGCTAAATTCACCTACTGCTTTCATTGCTGTGATATCTCTATAAGTTTGTCACAGAAAGCACTCTTAGCCATGTGCTTCTATGTTTTCTGGTTTGTTCACAGAAAACAGCTGCATCTACTAAACCTTCTAAGGGAGCCGACCTAAACGGACCTGGCTTGACTTTGAAGCCACACTTTGACCTTGCTCGGATGCAAATCCATCAAATAATATTCCAGCCTTCCAGAAAATTAGATTTTCTAAAACATATATAATATTAGATGGAGTGCTTCTGGCTGGCATAACTGGTTACCATGACCGAACAGAGTATTTGTTGGAGACGGCTAAATGAATCTGATAGGTGGAATTAAAAAGTGTTAGTAATGTTAGTAAAGTTAGTGTCACTTTCCTTTCCTGTAGCTTTAGGGTTGCAGCGCAGGAAAAGGGAATAAATACACCTCCTTTAAATGTCAACAGGCAGCTGATAGATCTGTTCCCGATGTGTTCCCTCCTGCAGCGGGAGGCAACATGGATGTTACACCTTCTCCTCTGTGTGAATTCTCATATGATGAACCAAATGGTTACCCACAATGAAACCTTTTCCACACGTGGAACAAGTGAATGGCTTCTCACATCTTTGAGTTCCCATGTGCCTAGTCAGGTGGCTTCTGAAACTAAAGCTTTTTCCACAGCTCTGACAAGAGAATGGCTTCTCGCCTGTGTGGATCCTCATGTGATGACTCAAAGGGCTTTTTAATTTGAAGTTTTTCCCACTGGAATCACATGAGGATGGCTTCTCAGTGTGAGTTGTCATGTGGTACTTTAAATTACTCTGGTGGTTGAAAGATTTTCCACAGGTCTGGCATGAAAACGGCTTCTCACCTGTGTGGGTTCTCACATGACGAGTCAGATTGTTTTTCACGCTGAAGCTCTTCCCGCAGGTCTGACATGTAAAGGGTTTCTCACCAGTGTGGGTTCTCATGTGATAAGTCAGATTACACTTCAGATTGAAACTCTTCCCACAGGTCTGACATGAGAAAAGCATCCCAGTGTGGGATCTCATGTGGGACCTGAGGTTGCTCTGAAGATTAAAAGCTTTACCGCAGGTCTCGCATGAGAAAGGCTTCTCCTCGGTGTGGGTCTTCATGTGTCGGGTCACGTGACTCTTCAGGCTGAAGCTCTTCCCGCAGGTCTGACATGTAAAGGGTTTCTCACCAGTGTGGGTTCTCATGTGATAAGTCAGATTACACTTCAGATTGAAACTCTTCCCACAGGTCTGACATGAGAAAAGCATCCCAGTGTGGGATTTCATGTGGGACCTGAGGTTGCGCTGAAGATTAAAAGCTTTACCGCAGGTCTCACATGAGAAAGGCTTCTCCCCGGTGTGGGTCCTCATGTGTCGGGTCACGTGACTCTTCAGGCTGAAGCTCTTTCCACAGGTCTCACATGAGAAGGGCTTCTCTCCAGCGTGAAACCTCATGTGAACGCTCATGTAACTGTGGCCAAAACTTTTACCACAGATGTCACAGGAAGACAGATGTTCCTCTTTGGCCCTTTTCTGACAGGTTTCCTTGCTGGGATCTCCAGTGTTTGGACCTCCCTCATTTAGTTTCAACTCTTCAGCTCCACTTGATCCAGATTCTTCTTCAGTGCTTTCTTCCGGGGGTTCAGGAGAGTTCTGATAGACAAGCTGGTCTGTGACTGGTTCCTTTTCATTGTGGTCCAACTTAAAACCATGACTCACCATCAAGATATCTGTCTGTTCTGAAGAACCAGGCAGTTCTCCCTTTTGACTGATGGAGACTTTATCATACTCCTCTTTTATTTGCAAAGGTCCGGATTTATCCAGTCTTTGTATATAAACATAATATGGTTCCTCCAGTTCAAACTTAATCAGCTGAGGTTCTGGTTCCTCCTCTTTCATCTGCTGAGGTTCTAGATTCTCATCATCTTCTTTCAGCTGCACATTCCCTGGGTTCTCTTGTTCCACCTTTATCTGCACGGACTCATGTTCCTCACATTCTGGTTGCTCCACTTTAATTTTAACCTCCAGGGGTTCTGGTTTAACCAATTCTTCCATCATCTTCAGATGTGTAGAGTTTCTTTTTGTCCAAAGTGGGATTGACTCTCCTGACCCAACGCTGCTGGTGGATCAGAACCTCCTTCTTCCTTTCAGACGTAATGCTGGAGAGATTACAGAAAATAGAAATCATAAATGTGATCATAGAGATTAGAAAGTAAAAGACTTTCCAGAAGTAGACATTCCTGATTAAAATAGACTTTATTGATTAAATTATTCTGATGGTCAGAGAACTTGGACTTTGGGTTTTTATTCTGCAACTAGAATCATCATCAATACAAGAAATAAGGGCTGAAATATTCTACTCAATGTGTGATAGATCTATAGATAAGATAAGACGCAATAATTGAACTCTTAAGGTGCATTCACACCAAGCGTAGTGTCTGCAACGGGAGGGTTGATTTACATAGTATCCTTATGCAAACTGCACTGGGAAGGGCGGAAAGCCGCTTTGGCGAAATTAGCACACAGAACAGTATTCAGAAGTTCAGCATCCTTGCTTTGCGTGCTTTGCAGGTCGATTGTCACATTTGCTAGGCAATAGTGCTTACGCTGAGCGATGGTGACAGCTGGGGAAGGCTGGACCTGTTTGATTCTATAGCTAATCCTTCCTGCCTCTTTGTTTTTAGCGCCACCGCAGCACGGGAGGGAGAATTACGTCCAGGAGCAAATGGATAAAAATAGACCGGAGGGGAAAAAAAACATAAATCGATGCTCTTGCGGACGTATCGATGCATCGGATCGTCGGCTGTTGGATCGATGCATCGATACAAAACTATTATTATTTACACCCCTAGTGCGCTTGTGCTCTGAGAAGGTTGCAAGTACCCGGTTTGATCCCCACAGCCTCCACTCTGTGTTCCTCAGCAAAACCCTTAAACAAACCATTAAACAACACTGCGTCTCTAGTCCACAGGCTACAGATGCAGTGTTTGGTGAGTCTGTTAGTGAGTCTGAGTGTTAGCTGTTAGTGATTCTATCAGGTAGTCAAGGTAGTCCCTGGAAGAGGGGCATATTAAGCTGCACATGTAGGTTGAAAGCAGTTTAAGTTCTGGATGACAGTGAGAAAAACATGCATTTTCATGAGGAAATATTTCAACCCAGCAAACTACTCAAACAGCAAAGCAACACCGAACCAAAGTTTATTTAACTCTGTCTGAACCGATCAGTCAATTTTCAGTAGTTGAATCAAAATTCATTTTGCGATTGATATGTTGGTGATGCCTTGAACTGGAAATAAAACCTTTATTCAGTGTTGGTTTCTCAGTGATGGAACTGTTTTATATTTCTGCTGGATGATGAAGCTCAACGCAGCAAGACGGCACAATGCAGATTGTGTGGGACAGAAAGTAGTGTTCAGAAACAAAATAAAACATCTGGTTAATTTTCAAAATAGTAAATCCATTTCTGTGGTAACTTAAGTCACCATAATGATCCCTCCAAAAGCCTCAGATTGCTCCATTTCTTGTAATGTTGTAGACTCCTATGTTAATTAATTTTATACGATTGCTTAAATGTGCATAGTTTATCTTTTTTATTTAATATTTATACATTAACTTATATATAGTTATTTTACTATTTCATACTTTAAAACCGGGCTGCTCTGAAACCTGCACCACTAATTTCATTTTATGTCAACGTGTTGAAATCACAAATAAAAATTAAAAGTCAAATGTTTATTGCATGATACTGTCAGCGATGGGTGGTGAGGTTGCTTGAGGACCCAAATGAGATCAGGAGGCAGAGGTGAGTCTTGAAGATTTAATCAGTTAACTGAGGACAAACTCCAAAGAACAAAAATATCAAGAACCCAAAAACTTCAGGGGAAAACTCATGTGGGGAGCCAGAGATGAGGAAACAACAGGGAACCAGCACAGAGTGACTGCAGAGGTGGAATATATAAGGGGAACAGAACAAAGGATGGGCTACTGAGCTGAATATGGAGCAGGTGTGAGTGGAACTAACTAGAAGGAAGCCAAGGGGAAAGGAAACAAGCACAAGGGGGCGACAGAGAGTAACTAAAAACTCAAGAGTCCCAAATGGGGAGAACCATAATAGATACTTGAGGTATTGTGTAATATAATAATAGAAATATGTTCAAAAGCTGGCTTTCCTTAACAAGAGTGAACAAATAAGGCACAATTATCAACATAATAATATAATAGGGTTTAAATACTGAAGTAAATATTAAGCAACTAATTTCAGTTATAATGGAATGTCTTTTTTATACATAGATACATTTCTAACTCCTTAGATAGAAGCTTTAAAAGAAAGATGACATAAAAAACAAGTTTACAAATTTATAATGCCTGAAATGTCTGGCAGGGAGAGGGAAATGCACCAACCAGCTTATTCAAAGTCATAAAGATGTTGCTTTTGCTGACTCTGAAAATGGCCAGATTTTACGACGGAGTATTAGGGCCACACATGAAGAGAAAAAATATTTTTGCCATGACGAGATTAAACTCGACATGTCGACTTTAAAGTCGACATTAAACTCAACATTTCGAGAATAAAGTTGAAATGTCATGTTGAGTTTAATCTTGACGTGTCGACTTTAAACTCGCCCTGTCAACTTTAAACTCGCCATTTCGAGAATAAAGTTGAAATGTCATGTTGAGTTTAATCTTGACGTGTCGACAATAAAGTTTAAATTAGTTCAAGAGAGCCAACCGCTGCACAGGACACATGCACAGAATCCTATACAGTTGCAGCACGTCAAAGACTACCTTCACTCTTAAAACGCAGACTGCAGCTGTGGAGCGCGGTTGCTCTTTTCTCCAAACTTTGGAATGTCGAGATTAAAGTCGCCACGATATATCAACTTTATTCTCGAGATGGCGAGTTTAAAGTCGACACGTCGAGATTAAACTCAACATGACATTTCAACTTTATTCTCAAAATGTTGAGTTTAATGTCGAGTTTAATCTCTTCATGGCAAAAATATTTTTTCTCTTCATGTGTGGCCCTAAAACTCCGTCGTAAGATTTTAATAATGATATTGAAAAAAAAACATTTTCTGGGGTGCACATCGCCAAACCCACCTAGAAGTGACTGACTCCTGACCTCAGTATGTTTTTGGGCCCCTGACCTTTAGGATATTCTGTTTGTTTAGATCTACTTGTTCTCAGCAGGAGGTTGGAAACATTTGAGTTTAGTTGTTTTATTGAATCTTTATATACAATAGAATGAATTTAAAAATAGAAGGAGAGTACAAATATGGATCAGACATAAAACAAAGATAAGAAACGAAAACAAAAAGATTTGTGAGCAAGAGTTTGTTTAAAAAATAATGTTAAAGGATTTTCAAATGTTCAGAGGCTTTGAGTTTTTTTTATTTAAATTTGTCCCTAAATATTGTTAAAGGAGTTCTGGATTCTTGTTGATTGATTTAAATGTGTGTCTGTGAATATTACTCAGAAATAAAGGCATATTTATGAAGGAAAAAACATCCTTATTGTTATTAAAGTAGAGCAAACCAAAAAGGACACTTCATCAGAGATGAAGGTCAGGAACGACAGAATCTATAATAAATTGATGAAAAATTCCTCCAGAATGAATAAATTCATCTGACCTAAATAAATGAGTTTATTGGTGGAATTTGGTGATAAATAGTTCCTCATGATTTGTTCTGTTACATCCTAAAACCCCCGGAAAATCCCCTGAACAAAGATTTTTTTGTTCCGGTTCTATTCGGTTCATAAATCGAACAGATCTGGTAGGTTCTGATCTGATTCTCAGTGATGCTATCCCTGTCGAACCACGTCAGAACTGCCGGTGCTCCGTACCTGTTCGCTGGGTGTTGCTATGGGCTTTCAGCCTGATCTCCAGCATCCTGTGGTTCTGATCCAGTATAGGCACCGAAGAAACCCAAAAGTTCACCTCAAACTGGGATCAAAACGAAGCGGAACGAAAAGAAGCTAACGCGGCTAACCGCCTTGCGTACCGAAACCGGATGTTGTCAAATGTCGACTTCCGCCTGATGCTGACATTTAGGAGCTGTGTCCGAATTCTTGGACTGAATCGTATGCTCTGTTCGAAAACCTAGGACGCATCCTTAGAAGACCGGATTCGAAGGCCGATTACGTCATAGCGCGGCGCCGAGGTCTGGTCAGATTCCAAGAGTCCTCGTTATGCGGCCTTAAAGGAATAGTACACCCAAAACATGATTAGCCTTCATTTTCTACTCACCCCCATGCTGAACAACACTCTGGAGTACTTTTTTGATATCTCAAATGCATCTGGAGATCTGGGAGGCTTCTTGCTGTCTGCTGACATTCAAATAATGGAGGTCTATGGCGCCCGAGACAGAAAGGTCCACAAAAGTCCACAAAAACTTGTCAATATTCCTCCATACTGCTCGTCCAATGTAATCCAAGTGTCCTGAGTGGGTAGCATCCAGAATTTACTCGAAACGAAGTCATTTAGAATGTTTTTAGAGCCTAAACAGTAGTGTATAGGATTTCCTAATAGCGCCCCCATGCGCGCTCACGATTCTACGGAAGCCGGCAGACCAAACCAGCGCATTCAGCTCGGCAAAGAACTCATGCTCTTCCTCAACACTGAAGTCCTCAGACATTTTTCTTTCGTTGTTTCTTTCTTTGCACAGGTAAACAGCACATTTCTTCTTCTACGCTTGCATTATTGGCAGAGCAAACGCTGAATGCGCACTTTCTTCCGGTTTGGTCTGCCGGCTTCCGTAGAATCGTGAGCGCGCATGGGGGCGCTATTAGGAAATCCTATACACTACTGTTTATGCTCTAAAAACATTCTAAATGACTTCGTTTCGAGTAAATTCTGGATGCTACCCACTCAGGACACTTGGATTACATTGGACGAGCAGTATGGAGGAATATTGACACGTTTTTGTGGACTTTTATGGACCTTTCTGTCTCGGGCGCCATAGACCTCCATTATTTGAATGTCAGCAGACAGCAAGAAGCCTCCCAGATCTCCAGATGCATTTGAGATATCAAAAAAGTACTCCAGAGTGTTGTTCAGCATGGGGGTGAGTAGAAAATGAAGGCTAATCATGTTTTGGGTGTACTATTCCTTTAAAATGCGTCCTTCTTTTTGCCCAATTTGAAGGACGGGTCTGATGTATCCTCTCTATCCTTGGTTTACCCAGGATTCATTGCGAGACCAAGCAAGCCGTGATCAGAGGAAAGGTTACTTGGCGCCGAACAGTGGTGAAAATTGGAAGTTCAGTTTAATATAATACAAGTCATTTAATAGTTCCGTCTGAGATTAATGGAAAATAGTTGTTTTAATGTTTATAGAGTCAGATATGTGGCGGTAATGTTTGATTTATCTAAAGGTTTTTATCTGTTACTGTGTAAATGGGTTTGGCTGGAATTTAAGGACAGGTTCTAATAGATCTGCAGGGTGGGGACTATAAAACTGATTGGAGTTTTACCTTTTTATTGCTGTTTTTCACAATATGCTTAACTACGTATTTTTTGTTGTTGAATATTAGAGATTTTGCAGATATATTTTTTAGAAATACATTTTTCAGATTTACTTATATCTTTCTACCCCTTTTATAGAATAGAAAATCCCTTTATTGTCCCACAATGGGCAAATTTACAGCAGCAGAAAGATTATTGAAAATGGTCACACAATAGAATAAAGAATAACATAATAGGGAAGAGTTAAAATATAAACAATAAAATACTGTAAAGTCTTTTAACAATATAAAACTGGAGAATAAATAACCAATATGCAGCTATGGACATTTTTCCAGTAATGGATATTTGAAAATAGCAGCAACATCAGAGATGTGCAAAATGACAGCAGCATGTTATTTAACTGACTAAGGTTTCTATCATTACATTTGATTTTATTTGTTCCTGCTCCCGGTGGGTGGAACCTTTATTCCATTCTGGATTCTTGTGAGTGTAGTCTTTGTTCACTTCACAATAAAAAAGAAATAAATAAACAGTTTTGAAAACTTCTGTATTCATTCTTTTTTTCTGAATTTGGATGGGTCCGATCTGTACCCGGCCTTACGTCATCCAAGAGCCATGGAGAAAGGACTCTATCTAGATCCTCCATGTCTATGCTGTCTCCATGGCTCTGCCTCAAGCCAACTTATGTCGCCTAGCAACCATTACATTGTGAGGTAATTTGGTTGATAATCAATAAGGTGAACCAAAAAAAAAAAAAACAGCTTCAGCCACCGGTTCCAGTTTCTCTGTTCTTTTATTCATTTCACTCTGACAAAACATTTCCCTGCACTTGAGTGATTAAACAGGTTCAAAAAAACAAAGTCTAAACAGAGAAACAAGACTAAAATTAATCAAATTAACAAACTCATCTACATAAAGAAAGAGTCTGCAAAACAGTGTGATACAAGATAACTCAAGTTACTTTAAAGAAAAACAAACAAAGCATAACTCCAACGAAAGGTAATTGATGACATCATCTAGTCAATTTAGTAGGAAATACTTAAACAATGGTCAGTAAAAAGGAAAACAAAAACCATGCATATATTTAAAAACAAAATAAACAACTTCATCCAATAATCCTGAATTAATAGCTTTAACCTCAACATAAGTAGATGGAAACTGCAACATAATGCTAACACAAACAAACCCGGGATAGTAAGTGAAAGTCCAAGTTGCACACAGAATTTTTTTTTCTTTTGCCTCTTTTCCTCCTGCTCCCTTTGGCTCCTGCTCTCCTTGCCTTGTCTCCCTTGCCCACGGAGCTGGAGTCCGCTGTGGTGGAGATGCGGGCCCCAGGGGAACCAGATCCCCAGAACCATCAAGTCAAAACCTATCAGAACCAAACTGCTGCAAACAGACATTTTGCAAGACATTTCTTCTCAGTTTCAGAGCTTATAGAGCCAAACTGGATGAGAACCATGCCCTGGGTGTAAGCCTGAGGGGACCCCTGCTGTGAGACTGAGAAAAATACCCCATTTACACTACCCTTGAAGGTGCTTGCCGACCAACACAAAACAGAAGAAGAACTATAAACAACAATCGAAATCTTCTCCACGCAACATTTTAAATAATGGCATTTTAAATAATAACACCAAATTACAGCAATAATAATCAAGCATAACTTTCTGAATGTGACGGGCGCCGCCATTTTGATTTGCTTGATTCCCCTCCTTTGTCTTCTTCTTGTGTTTCATGGCGAAACATGGCAAACAACTTTTGGTGCATTACCGCCATCAACTGCTTAATTTCCTCCTTCAATACTGGCAGTAATACAGCAGATCGTGATTAGGAGGCGAGGAGATAGCGTGATGTTTAAACGGGCCTGGTTAACTGATCCGAGCTCGGACCGGTCTCGGCATGTATCGGTTTTTCAAGGGTAGTGTAAATGGGGTAAAAGAACCCCTGGTCAACTGCAGCTGGATGGAACTCAAGCTTTCCAAATGGAAATAGAAAAAAAGGTTTGCAGGTCTGGCATGATTAGGGACAGAACAAACAATATTTCTTTTGATTATGCTAATTATATCACGTGTTTAATGTCCAATTGATGCTAAAGAAAGGACTGCATGCCACACTATGCTACAGGAATATGTTTTGAGCTGTTGCTGAAGCTTGGAAAAGCTTTATTCACTAAGGGTTTAAACACTGATATAACATTAGTGTTCATGTGTTCCTCAGATGCTCATTACATTTCCATTAGCAAGTATGACCAAGAGTCATTTTGTGGAATCATGATGTCTATTCGCTGCTAGCTATTTCAAAGAGGGTAAAGAATCATTTGACTAAAGGTTTTTGGTTCTTTATTAAGCAAATCATTTAAAGGAGAAGTTCGGTTTTTAACACTTTTAGCCCATTTTCTGTAGTGTCCAGGATGAAATCCGATGATCGACACCAAAATTTTGACAATTGGTCCTGTCTCTGCTTTTTGGCTCATTTAGAATCCACCCCTGGCTGCTTTATAATGGCTTCCATAGAGCATGTCCGATAATGTCCTTAAAACAACCTTAAACGTTCTTTTTTTTTTTAAATATGCTACTCACCGGGTCGTCAGCGCTGTTCAATGACGTTCCAAAACAAGTTTCGTAAAGAAAAAACTTTCCTGTAGTGTTTTATTTAGCATTTTGTAAATCCCATTGAGTTCTGTAGGAATAGTCAATATTCCGCTGCCACCGGAAACGGAAATGGGGCCTGTTTACACAGTTGTAGTCTTTTCGCTTCACTCTGTGTACTCCGACGTCGAGGTGCTAACGTCTCTGTTAAACACTTTAAAAAACTCTGAAAATGGAATACGAAAGGTGGATTCTTGATTCTCGACGTCAGCGATGACGACCCGGTGAGTAGCATATTTTAAAAAAAGAACGTTTAAGGTTGTTTTAAGGACATTATCGGACATGCTCTATGGAAGCCATTCTAAAGCAGCCAGGGGGGGATTCTGCATGAGCCAAAAAGCAGAGCCAGGACCAATTGTCAAAATTTTGGTGTCGATCATTCGATTTCATCCTGGACACTACAGAAAATGGGCTAAAAGTGTTAAAAACCGAACTTCTCCTTTAATAAAACATTATTTGGCCAAATAATGTTTTATTCACCTCATGGATTTGCATTGTGAATTGGTCTGAAAACATTCCAATTTCTTTAAAATTAGTGAAAAGCTAATTTGATCATATCCCAAATTCTTCCAGATATACTTTGGTTTAAAAGACAAGATCCATCTTAAACTGTAATGTTTTTCAACCGTTTTCCCCTTCCTCTTTGTACATAGTAGTTAGTTTTGTTTAGTTGAGTTGAGTTTTACTAGTCTAAGTTGAGAGTGTTAAACTGAAATATGTTTGACTTGGAGCTGAATGATTTTTGTTAGTAAACTCTTACATTTTGAACAGAAGTTGTAGTGAATTTATTCCATATATGTGCAGATTTAACCGTTTGACCATGATTAGTGTTCGAATCACCCTTTCATCTATTGTTCTAACACACAGTTAGAAGGACTCGTACCCGTACTCCCCTACTGGGGAGAGCAATAAACATCTTAAAGTATCAGAAATATAATTCCCAGCTGGGAATAGAAAATAACATAAAATCACAACAGAATATATCAGAGAAAGGTCAAAAGCTAGCATTAGTGTAGAAGAAAAAATTTAATCTCAGATTTGCTGACTAAAGAAAATAAAACGATCAAACTCAACAATAAAATGTCGATTTGATCTGAAAAACAAGCTACAGTCTTACCTAAAATATAATAAACAAAAACCTTAAAATCTTTTTTTTAATAACATTTTGGCTATCAAACAGAGCAAATCTCTTTTTAGGTTTAAAGCTTTCAGTCGGGGAGGTATATTAATCATCAGTGTGTAGGGTAGGTGGGGGGAGAGAACAAAAATACAGCCTTATACAGTTTCTATGCAGAATAAATTACATTTTATCCAAGTTTGATGATCTTTACTGTCGTTTGGTGATCAGTCTTCTGACACTTTGATGTAAGAGATGCTGTCGGTGTAGAAATGAGTAACGGTGAGTTTCTGCTTACTCTAGCTGCATTGGCGGGTGTAAAAGTTGGACCGAATACCGAGCACATTAATCATTTTTTTAAAAAATGTCAGTTTTCTGTTTTCTAAAGAAGCAACATTTTCCCATATTAGGCCACAGATGTCCTTCCAGACGTTCTGGGAGTAACAGCATCTCCTAAAGAGGAGCTGAACCAAACAGAGAATAACATCCATCCAAACTCCATCCTAAATAACACTGATTTTAAACGAAGCCTCCTTCACCTTCATAAAGGGTTGTTGGTTCCTGAGAGAGGAGTCAACCCATGTTAGATCCTGGTCCAATCTTCTCACCCTCAGCAGGAGTCACCATGAAGGTCTCCGTCTCCTTCTTCAGCACCGGTTGATCTTCAACCTGACCTGTACAGATTTCCTCCTGTTCCTCTTTGATCTGAGGAGGTTCTGGTTCCTCTTGGTTCAAATTAGAGCTCTTTTCCTGTAGAACCTCCCCTGCTTTCTGATCCTCCTGCTGCAGGCAGTCTGGATGGAGAAGAATCAGACAAGAAATCACTGTTCATGAACTTGAAATATAGCAAAGTTTTACTTCAGTTTGGATCATAGATCCATCAGCAAACAGAAAGACTGAGTTGGATGCTATAGCTTAAAGTTTATCTAAAAAATAAAGCCTAATATTAAGCTTGATGTATGCTCAACTCATCTGCAAGGTCAGTTTAGCCAAATGACGCAATTTAACTGCCATTTAAGCCTCTCTGCTCGGCATCCAGATTACCTACAGCGACATGAAGGACTGACACCTTCTTCTAACAAGGGTTCACACATACAGGTGCTGGTCATAAAATTAGAATATCATGAAAAAGTAGATTGATTTCAGTAATTCCATTTAAAAAGTGAAACTTGTATATTATATTCATACATTACATACAAACTCGTATATTTCAGATGTTTATTTTGTTTAATTTTGATGATTACAAATGACAACAAATGAAAATCTCAAATTCATCATATCAGAAAATTAGAATATTACTGAAGACCAATAAAAACAAAGGATTTATAGAAATGTTGGCCAACTGAAAAGTATGAACATGAAAAGTATGAGCATGTACAGCACTCAGTATTTAGTTGGGCCTCCTTTGGCCTGTATTACTGCAGCAATGCGGCGTGGCATGGAGTCGATCAGTCTGTGGCACTGCTCAGGTGTTATGATAGCCCAGGTTGCTCTAATAGTGGCTTTTAGCTCTTCTGAATTGTTGGGTCTGGTGTATTGCATCTTCTTCTTCACAATACCCCATAGATTTTCTATGGGGTTAAGGTCAGGAGAGTTTGCTGGCCAATTAAGAACAGGGATACCATGGTCCTTCAACCAGGTACTGGTAGCTTTGGCACTGTGTGCAGGTGCCAAGTCCTGTTGGAAAATGAAATCTGCATCTCCAAAAAGTTGGTCAGCTGCAGGAAGCATGAAGTGCTCTAAAACTTCCTGGTATGTGGCTGCGTTGACCCTGGACCTCAGAAAACACAATGGACCAACACCAGCAGATGACATGGCACCCCAAACCATCACTGACTGTGGAAACTTTACACTGGACTTCAAGCAACGTGGATGAAGTGCCTCTCTTCTTTTCCTCCAGACTCTGGGACCTTGATTTCCAAAGGAAATGCAAAATTTACTTTCATCAGAGAACATGACTTTGGACCACTCACCAGCAGTCCAGTCCTGTTTCTCTTTAGCCCAGGCAAGACGCTTCTGACGCTGTCTGTGGTTCAAGAGTGGCTTGACACAAGGAATGCGACAGCAGAAACCCATGTCTTTCATACGTCTGTGTGTGGTGGTTCTTGAAGCACTCACTCCAGCTGCAGTCCACTCTTTGTGAATCTCCCCCACATTTTTGAATGGGTTTTGTTTCACAATCCTCTCCAGGGTGCGGTTATCTCTCTTGCTTGTACACTTTTTTCGACCACATCTTTTCCTTCCCTTCGCCTCTCTATTAATGTGCTTGGACACTGAGCTCTGTGAACAGCCAGCCTCTTTAGCGATGACCTTTTGTGTCTTGCCCTCCTTGTACAAGGTGTCGATGGTCGTCTTTTGGACAACTGTCAAGTCAGCAGTCTTCCCCATGATTGTGTAGCCTATAGAACTAGACTGAAAGACCATTTAAAGGCTTTTGCAGGTGGTTTGAGTTAATTAGCTGATTAGAGTGTGGCACCAGGGGCCATCAATTTTGAACCTTTTCACAATATTCTAATTTTCTGATATGATGAATTTGAGATTTTCATTTGTTGTCATTTGTAATCATCAAAATTAAACAAAATAAACATCTGAAATATATGAGTTTGTATGTAATGTATGAATATAATATACAAGTTTCACTTTTTAAATGGAATTACTGAAATCAATCTACTTTTTCATGATATTCTAATTTTATGACCAGCACCTGTAAACATCAGGAGTTCCCAAAATGGGAACACCAAAGGTTTTTTGCATTATCATGATGTGATCACTGAGGTACAGAGGGTAAATATTCAGGCACCTTTAAATTTTTCACTCTTTGTTTCATTGCAGCCACCTATTAAAATGAATAAAGTTAATTTTGTCATTCATGTATACTCAACACACAATCTTGACAGAAAAACCCAAAATGTAGACATTTTTGCAAATTTATTTAAAAAGAGAGAGTGAAATGTAAAAATAGATCCTCTCCAGGTGTGTCAGGTTGGATGGTGAGCGTTGGTGGACAACCATTTTCAGTTCTCTCCAGAGACGTTCAATCGGGTTTAGGTCAGGGCCCTGGCTTTAAGTTGTCCCCAAGCCACTCCTTTGTTATTTTAGCTGTGTGCTTAGGGTCATTGTCTCATTGGAAGGTGAACCTTCGGCCCAGTCTGAGGTCCTGAGCGCTCTGGAAGAGGTTTTTTTCCAAGATATCTCTGTACTTGGCCGCATTCATCTTTCCTTCAATTGCAACCAGTCAATTTGTCCCTGCAGCTGAAAAGCACCCCCACAGCATGATGCTGCCACCAACATGTTTCCCTGCTTGGATTGTAATGGGCAGATGATGAGCAGTGCCTGGTTTTTTCCACACCTACTGCTTAGAATTTAAGCCAAAAAATTCAATCTTGGTCTCATCAGACCAGAGAATCTTCTTTCTCATAGTCTGGGAGTCCTTCGTGTGTTTTTTGTCAAACTCTATGCAGGCTTTCATATTTCTTGCACTGAGGAGTGGCTTCTGCCAGGCCACTCTGCCATAAAGACCTAAGTGGTGGAGGGCTGCAGTGATAGTCGACTTTGTGGAACTTCCTCCATTCTCCCTACTGTATCTCTGGAGCTCAGTCACAGCGCTCTTTGGGTTCTTCTTTACCTCTCTCACCTAGACACTTCTCCCACAATTGTTTGGCTGGACGGCCAGGTCTAGGAAGAGTTCTGGTCGTCCCAAACTTCTTCTATTTAGGCATCATGAAGGCCACTGTGCTAAAAGGAAACTCAAGTTCTGCAGAAATTATTTTTAAACCTTGGCCAGATCTGTGCTTTGCAACAATTGTGTCTCTGAGCACCCTGGGCAGATCCTTCAGCCTCATGATTCTCATTTGCTCTGACTCTGTGAGTTGGAAGGTCTTATGTAGACAGGTGTGTGGCTTAAAATAATGAAGTTCAATCAGTTGAATAAAACACAGCTAGACTCTAATGAAGGAGCAGAACCATTTCAAGTAGGGCTGGGCGATATAGAAAAAAAGCTTATCGATAAAAAAAAATGCATATTGATCGATATCGATAATTATTGAAAAGATTTGAAACCATATTTTATGTGCAGCTCTGCCTGGACTTTTTATAATTTTGCTTACTGTTTACTTTTAATAAAGAACACAAACACAGACTTCCGATTAAATATTTATTTAACCAACTTTTTTAACCATAACAGAATTGTTTTAAAGAAAAATAACTTAAGAGACCTGAGTTATGTTATTAAATACTGACAAAGAATAAACTAAAGTGACCAGAAAAGTGACCAAAATAAATATAACAAATAAATAAATAGAATACCCTATTTTGGTGGGAATAGTACAGTACCATGTAAACTCCACTCAACAAAAACAAAACCCCAAACAAAAATCAACTAACCCTTTAGCCTAGCATTTCTATGGAATATTTTTTCTCACCCCCATTCTTCTAGAGGTGCTGCTGGCACCTGGTTATGGTTCAGCTGAGTTATTACTTATTACTTTGAAGTTTCTGGCCCCTCAGCATTTTTCTCTCAATTGTTAGAACTACGTGGGAAACTGCCCAGAACTGAATGAAAATATATGTATTTTTTTTTTTTTCCCCAAAAAAAATTCCCGAAGATTCCTCGGAGGAGAGCCGCACCAGGGCCTACACAGCTCGTACTCCTGGGGGTGTGAGCGGCTGAGATGATTAAAAAAAAAGTTGGTTGTGTTATCAGACTTGGTTTTCACTGGTTCCCGACACATTTTACAGATGACTGTGGTTTGTTTTTGGTCCGACTTGCCATAACCGAAATACTGCCAAACTGGCGAACTACAAAAACCCTTCTTTGGAACAATTTCCTCCGCCTCTCCTTGCTGCGACAGCTTCATGTGCTCTGTGTTGTGGTTTGAGAGGGCGGCGCTTTGTGACGGCGTGCCTGGGTCAGCGATTGCGATTGGTTAGGAGGAAGTAGTGACTAGCATAAACCTACATGATAGGCTACAATGAGAAGTAAGGAAAACTGCGTTTTTTTATCAACTCTCTTTTTTTTCTATCGCGCCACACGTCTATCGATCGATATATATCGTTATTGAATTATCGCCCAGCCCTAATTTCAAGGAGGATTCGCTAAGTGTTCTTTAAAGAGAAATTTAATTAACTTAATTGATTTTAGCAAATGGCTGCAATAAAACAAAGAGAAAAATATCAAGGGGTCTGAAAACTTTCCATATCCACTACATGTGGAGAGCCAAAACACATCATAATAAATGTACCATTAAAATACTAATTTAATGGTACATTTGTTGTGATGTGCTTTGGCTCTCCACACAGCCATTAAAACATCAACCTTTTAAATGAATTAGAAATAAATGTATTTTAAAATGAATCTGAATACTTCACTATTCATTTATCTATCTGCTTTATTTGACTCTTGTTTGTTTGTTTTTTTTTGCTTTATCAAAACCAGCTTTGTGAAATGAATCTCCGGAATCTTTACTGCACGTTGCTCTCACCTAAGTGGGTTCCTCTGTGGTAATTCAAACTGTTCAATTGAGTGAAGCTCTTCCCACATATTCCGCATGTATATGGTCTCTGACCCGTGTGGATTCTGGTGTGGACAGCCAGGCCAGAACTTCTCATGAAGCCTTTGCCGCAGATTTTGCAGGAGAACGGTCTCTCTCCTGTGTGGGTCCTCCGATGAGCCTGCATCTCGTAGTTGTGCTTGTAAGCTTTCCCACAAACATCACACCTCACAGACCTCTTGGCCATCGGTGCACCGATCGGACCCTGCCCAGACAAACCTCTCTCCACATCACCATCGGTGGGGCAGTTCTTCGACTGACCCTCTAGAGGACATCCGTTATCAACCAGACTGTTTTGATCCAGATCCTCAACTTTAGCAGACTTCTGATAGTGGAGTTGATCAGGTTCGAGCATAAAGAGCTTTGTCTCCTGATTCCCTGCCTGTTGAGTTTTTGGTTCTGCCTTGTCCAAACTGGAGCTCCTATCCTGGATACACAGAGCCTCCTCTGTTTGATGATTCTCCTGCTGCAGAACATCTGGACAGAGAAATAAAAAATATTCTGTTTTGTTACTATAAACATGGTTCGGAACGATCTGCATCATATTTAACAGAACCCATCTGGCCGAACCTTCTGTTTGGAACATCTAGCTCCATATCCCAAGCATCTGAGGCCTGTCCAGAACTGGGTGACTCACCTGTGTGGGTCTTCATGTGGTAGTTCAGGCTGCTGAGCTGAGTAAATCTTTTCCCACAGGTCTTGCAGGAATACGGTTTTTGTCCTGTGTGGATCCTCATGTGCACCGACAAACCAGAACTCCTCATGAACCGTTTTCCACAGTTTTTACAGGAGAATGGTCTTTCCCCTGTATGGGTTCTCCTGTGGATCTTCATCTTGTAGCTGTGCTTGAAAGCCTTTCCGCAGAGGTCGCAACTCACTGACTTCTCAGCTGTCTGAGCAGAAGCATCGCTGGTACCTGCCTGGTTCTGGTTTTCAGCTTCAGGACCCAAAGAGGCGAGTCGGTACCTGTTTGGTTCTGGTTCCTCATCAGGAGCCGTCACCAAGAAGAAATCCACCTCGTTCTTAAACACACGCTGTTCCTCTGCCTCAGAAACACAGAGTTTCTCTTCTTGAACCGTTAGAGGTTCTGGTTCCTTTGGTTCTTCTTTGACCCGGGCAGGTCCAGCACTCTGTATCGTCTGATTTGGACCGATGCTGGCGTCCTGGTTACAGAGCTTTTGGTCAAAGCGAACCTTCTTCACTATCCGATCATGATCCTGTGAAGGTTCTAGTTGGGCAGAAAAAGAAAATGATGTGTTAGTTTTAGCAGAGCTAAGAGCTTCTGTTGATCGTCAGATCTGCATAACATGCGAGTTCTTCCAGCAGATATTCTTTGCAGCAGTGAACATGGATATACACGTTTATCATGAGGTCTCCTGTCAATGAACAGCTTTGCAAACATCTGCTGAATGTGAATCTCGCTGTAGAGCTGAGGACACCAGTAGACCCGCTCATCATTCTGTTCATAAATGATCATTGCAGCGAAAAAACATGTCTTTCTTCCATGTTGATAAAAAATAGAACCAAAAAACAACAAATATTTCATCAGAAGTCATTGTAGAGCCTGAGGAAACGCCTCATCCAGGGTGTGAAATTAACACTTACCAGTGGCGACAACATTTTTTCATTTGGTGAGTTAAGGCCAGAGCACCATTCGCCACAAGGCGAGTAAATGTTTAAACCACAGTTGCACTTCAGTCACATCCTTTCATTTTATTTTAGAAATTCCCCCTCTGTTCCTCACACGCCGATAGACGCATGTACAGAGAGCACACCGCCAACTAACAATAACTTAATCGGTATGCAAACTGTGGCAGTATATAGTTAGAGCAACCAAGTCTTCTAAAACACAACATGTTGATGAGGAGGAGGGGGAGAAAGGATCCACGGATGTCTGAGGGACAGTGATTCGCCTACATGTTATGAATGCTGATGTACTATAAAGGATAAATCATGAACAGTTTAGTTTGTGCTAGGGCTGCAACTAACAATTATTTTAAAAATCGACGATTATTTTTTCGATTAATTGGACAAAAAATATTTTTATATTAACCTCTTTATTATAAAATAAACATTTTAGACAGAACAAACAAGCACACAAGTACAGGTTGCTCATTAACTTTACTGGTGCAATATGAAAAAGAAATGTTTGTGTTAAAACTACGCAAACTTACATGAGAAATGTAGCTGTACATCCTAAAAATATAGGGTACTTTGTTTCATAAAGCGCAAAAAAAGACATTTTTGTTTTTAAAAGCCCTAAGGGGTTCAAACAATAGGCCCCCCATTTCAACAAAGGAGTTTTTTTTAGATTAGAAGAGTTCTGCCTTTTAAGACAGGAAAGTATAGCAGTTAAAGTTGCTACTTGAGAAAATACTGAACTATAGAGATAAAAATAGCCCTGTGATTCAAATTATAAATTGTATTTGGAATAAAAATGAGAGAACTAGGGGTGCTAAAAAACACATCCTCCAAAGACAGATATTTACATGGAAATGTGGCATATAATTCATTGACATATTACTGATCTTGCTGGATTTTATTCTGCTTTACTTCCATAAATTGCAGGATCTTCTTTACTTTATCTTTGCCAGAAGATTTAACTTTAAAAGCCTTGCCCTCATAATTTGCAGTTTATTTATTTATAAAGAAAATATAAATGCTGCTTAAGCTAATTCAAATGAAATTAAAAGTAAAATAAGTAGCCAACCTTATCACTGTCTGTAACCTACTAACAAGGTAAGGAAAGCATCAGAGCTACCTGAGAAACTAATGTTACGTTTCCACACTTTAAAACCAAACAAACATGGTCACTCATCCTGCTTGATCAGCTCTCTTCACTGCCATTGAAGGCTCCAACGTGTTTTCTTTTCAGGTGCTGCATCATAACAGTGGTGGTTCCGTGCCATGTTCATTTGTTTTTACAAAAGTTGCATGTTACGACTTTTTTCACTTTACAAAGCGCAGGCTATTTTAATTATTGTGATCAATTTGCGCCTTCCAGGCGCATGCGCGCTTCATTTGCAGTCTGGACGCTGAGGGTAAACATCCTGCGGCTCTGACTGCAGCGCTGAGAGGGACTCCTGCGGGAGAGGGAGAATGGAGTTGGGATGGGGGAGGCACCCCACGGCAGAGTAGGAACGATACATGCTTTCACGTAAGAGTCTCCAAAAGCCGTCAGTGACACCGTAAAAAGTCGCCAGATTTGTCTCTAGTTGCTTTTTTGAAAAATAGTCGCTGGAGGGGTCTGAAAAGTCGCTAAATATAGCGACAAGGTCGCTGAGTTGGCAACACTGCACCTGCAGCGCTCGCTCTGCCGTATTTTTTTTCTTCCCCCGTTTCAGTCAAGTGGCTGTGATGACGACACAACTAATCGATGAACGCTTTTAAAAGTCGATTTTTATCGATACGTTGTTGCAGTCCTAGTTTGTGCCTTCAAGTCGTTGCCCATAGGAAGACGTTACTTGGATATAACCTAACAGAAAATCTTCAGAACGGCTCCAAATGACACAAAACATGATGTAAAAACGTAAAACCAAGGGCCACATGGGAAAAAAAGGGCGTTTCCCTTTAAAGGAGAAGAATCGCTAATAGGATTAAAAATAAGATTTCCTTACCTGTCTGAATAAAGGTATAAATGGAAAACCTGTGGTGTGAGCATTGCATTTAAATACTTCAGTAGCATTTAAATCCCCAGATTATTCAAATTTATTAATTTTTTTTTGTTACTGAAAAGATTTTATAAACAAACAATTCTACTGAAGAAGAAGATAATACTATTAATATAATGTGACTTTTCTAGAGAATCATTATACATAGTTATTTTATACAGGGTTTCCACAGTCTTACATAATTTCAGAATTCCCTGACTTTTAACTGACTCAGGATTAGTTTTCCCTGACAAAATAAATGCAGCAACAAGACAATAATAATAACATAACAGGTCACCCATTTAACATGTTTAGCTCTATAACATTTAAATGCACCTCTTCAATGTCTAAGAGAAAAACATTTATTGAACATTTTTAATGTATGACCACTGTACAGAAGACTGCCATATGATAGCGCATTCTAGCTTGTTTGTCGTTTTGGTAACTACATCAAATTTACCGCTAGGTGGACAAAAATCACGCCATCTGGTGGGAAATCACCCGGCTTTTTCAAATCACGCGAGAATTATACAAAACAACAAAAATGGCGCAAGCAACGCTTCTGGGTCGTTATCATCGAATGTCGGTGAATTTAAAGTAATTTTAAGTAATATATATATATATTTTTTTTCGATCATTGCAGTTTCCCGGTGGGTAAATGCAATGAAATGTGTACTCTCCCAACAATAAAAACTACTTGCCCCAGGAGATGGGGCGATGGTTAACATCGAGCCCTGATTTAACCAGAGCAGAACCTCTACCCCTAGACCTACCTGCTTGGTTCTGTTCAGTTCGGGGTCTCCAGCCGCGCTGACGGTCGATCTCCTCCTGGTACTGGATGATGGTTTTTTCCACCTCTGAGAAGATTTCTTCAGCAGCAGCAGTTAGTCTCTGCCTGATAAACTCCCTCAGAGGCTGAACTGAACTCATTGTTGCTGCGCGGACTCGCAATGGATCCCACCACACCGAACAGCTCGATGCTAACAGAGAAGCTAACGATGCTAACCATAGATTGACGCTAACCGCTTTGTTGACTTCTACCGGAAGTCTCGAGTTGTGTTTCCGGTTTAAGCCATAGTTCCGGTTTAAGACCGCTAGAGGGCGCCGTTTCCCCTGAAAAGTCATCCACAACGTGACGATTTGTAACAGATTTAAAAACAACGACGAAGAGCCATCTTAATAAAATAAGATACGTTATAAGGTTTTAAATAAGAACCATCTTAATAAAACTAAAATGAATAGATAGAAACTTAAAATAAAAAAAAATACTGAAAACTTTACGAGTTAATTTGACCAAAAACACTTCGTTTTCTAACTTAATGAAATCCATTGATTCACTTAACTCTCAAAGATCCACTTTGCTTATTTTCTGTTCAAGTTTTTGAGGAAGAAATAAAACCAAGGCTTTTTCTACCATCTACTTTAAAACAAGGATTTATTAAATTCATTCTCAAACCTAAAAGGAATAAACTACTCTTTTGAATTTGTCTGCCTGGAGTTGTATTTCCTGGACGGGGCTGCCTTTTATAGCTCCTTTTTGTATCTCTGCTTTTGTCTCCTTGAACCCCAGTCGGCCTCGGCAAATGGCCGCTCACACTGAATATTGTGATGTTATTGCTTAATAACCTGTATTAAAATTTTTTTTTTTGTTTGTTTTTTTGAAAGTAATTGCTTAATAAACTGCATTTAAACTTTTATAATGTCACATTTACTTGATGGAACGGAGTAGTTTATCTGCCAATAAGTGGCCTCTCAGCCGGCAGCGGCCACCATCAGCCACTACACAGCCACTCCGGTGGCAGGCTCTTGGTGGCCGCAGAAGCTGGTTTTCGTTAAATAATTAATTTTCTTTTTTAGTTATTATTCTTGCCGTTTTTTGGCAAATACGTTATTTATTAATTTATATATTTTTTCTTGCTGTTTTTTGCCAAATAACTTTTTTATAGTACCTCTAAGTAGGTAGTTTTTTTTTTTATTGTGATGTTATTGTGATGTAACCTGCATTAAAACTTTAAAGTCACAATTACTAGATGGAACGAAGTAGTTCATCTGCCAATAAGTGGCCTCCATAGTGGACTGCCATAGTGGCGGCCGCTGCCAGCAGAGAATGCCACCACAGTCTCTGCTGGCAGCGGCCATTATGCTGCCACTATGGTGGCAGTGGCCACTATGCTGCTGCTATGGTTCCACCATGGTGGCTCTGTGGTGGCAACATAGTTGCTGCTGCCACTATGATGGCAGTCTCTGCTGGCAGCAGACACTACGCTGCCACCATAGTCCCCTTTTTACAAAAAAATAAATGAATAAATAAGGTATTTGCCAAAAAACGGCAAGAAGAAAATAAGTTATTTAATAAAAACTGGCTTCTGCAACCACCAAAACGGTGTCAGTAAACCTGGGAGTCGCTCGGCAGGCTACTGGCAGGATAGCCGGGCTGTCATCATAGTGGTGGCATAGTAGCCGGTTCCAATATGCTGCTACTAGTGTGGCTGAGTAGTGCCTGGTGGTGACCCCTGCCAGCAGAGCCTACCACCTGAGTAGGTGATGGTGACCGCTGCCGGCTAAGGCCACTTATTGGCAAATAAACTACTCCCGTTCCATCAAGTAAATTATAAACATTATGACATTCTAAAAGTTTTAATGCAGTTTATTTAGCAATTACATTACAATATAAAAAAAAAAACACTATCTAGTTGGAACTGCTATAAATGGGTCATTTTCCACAAAACGGCAAGAAAAATACAAAAAAAAAATAATTAAATACCAAAAACAAAATAAAAAAAAATAAATGAAAAAATAATTTAGTGGCTGTTGCCAGTAATACGCCATGCCATTTGCCGACGAGCCACAACAAGCCACCGGATTTGCGACAGGAACTGTTGCAACGAGGCACAACGAGCCACCGGAACTGTCACAGGAACTGCTGCAACGAGCCACAACAAGCCAACGAGCCACCGGAACTGTCATTGGAACTGCTGCAATGAGCCACAACGAGCCAACGAGCCACCGGAACTGTCACTGGAACTGCTGCAACGAGCCACAACTAGCCAACGAGCCACCGGAACTGTCACTGGAACTGCTGCAACGAGCCACAACGAGCCAACGGAACTGCTGCAACAAGCCACATTGAGCCAACGAGCCACCGGAACTGTCACTGGAACTGCTGTAATGCAGCCACTGCAACGAATTGAGCTCAGGCCTGCTGCTCACACTGAGCCTGGTTCTGCTGGAGGTTTCTTCCTGTTTAAAGGGAGTTTTGCTCTCCACTGTCGCTCAATGAGTCGATGCAATCAACTGGTTTTCCTTAGATAGAAAACTTTGAATCAATTTGACTGTATGATCTGGTGAACTGTAAAGTGCCTTGAGATGACATGTGTTGTGAATTGGCGATATATAAATAAACTGAAATGAATTTGGAGACCAATCAAAGAAGCTAAAATATTGGCCCTATTCTTGTAAAGACTCAAAAACAGACTGGCTGGGAGATGTATTACAAATCATGAATCTTCATCACAGATTCTGATAAAACAGCTTATAAGGAATATATTGTTTCTGTTGTTACATCAGTTATTCAGAGATACTGTTTTGGTTTTACAAACAATATAATAGTTATTCCAAATAAAGGAACTCTATGAAGAAAAATTATGTTTATAAATCAAGCTCTGTGTTTTTGTAAAGTTACATTTCCAGAGCAGCAGAGTTAAGTCCTGCAAAATTTGAGAATATATAATTAGGAATAGAATTCCAGATAAAGGTTGTTTTTTATATATATACATTGTGATCCAGTTAATCTTTAAGGTGTTATTTAATGCATCAAAATAAAGAAAATAAGACTTAAAGGGACAGATTTTCTTAAGTAGTGGGTTTTGTTTTTCCACATAATACGGTGTATATTTTCTAAATAGATTTACAAGTTGTTTTATCAACATGTAGATTCTGAGGAGCATTGGGCAGACATGTGATTCACTCGAACGTTGAAAGCAGAACTTTCCCTTTCAGGTCTCTCTGCAGCCTTTCATTAAGGATTTTTTGAATAGGAGAGAAGTTTGTAACATCTGAGTTATTTATTTTTATTGATCCTAATATCACAGAATTTCATACAGGGATTTCATTAATGAAGGCTGGAAAAATTCACATTTGTTTCGGTTAAGGAAAAGGCCTTTTGAAAAGGACTGGAGACTTTTGTCACTGAAAAGCATCCCTGAGAAAGTCAGCAGTGTCATTTGCCAATTGACATAAATATTTCTCTGTCAGCCATGACTGAACTCCCAGGCGAATTGAGTCTAATATGAAATGAAGAGCTGCACAGAAAGCAGAAATAGACTAAACTCCTGGAAGGCCATCAGTTATTGCTGTTATCAAAATCACTCCTATGAATAATAGATGAACCTGGATATTTGCACAGCCAATGCGCTAAACATTATTCTAACCTGTAAACAAAGGTTTGTTTTCAATTTGATAGTTGGGCGACTACACATTGACTCTAATATAGGCAGAGTGAGCGGCCTCGAAGATTAGAAAAATATAGTCTTTATCACAGAGGTCAGAATTTGTGTTTTCTTTTCATTGCAAACACCTGCAGAGCTTTAATCTCAATGGGACATCCAGCATTTGCCTTGGGTTGTTTTTTAATCTGCATTTCATTGTTTACAACTCTGTCCTTGATATTGTTTATCTCTGCACAGAAACTATTAATAGACTCTTTCACTGATGTGATATGTTTAGTGTGCTCTTGTACAGCCTTTTTTATATCAGAATTACTATGGGATAGGACTATGAAAGTATCATTGCCCAAAATGCCTTAGCTGACTAACAGGAGAGGGACATGGCGTGACCGGGAGTGAAGTGAAATCTTCTTCCATCAAAACATTGTCTGGAACTGCTTCCAGATAATTGTGCATTGAGTCAATAAGGGAGTTTTTTTGTAGGAGGCACGAGGTTGGCTTTCCAGTGGGGTTAAAATTGCATAAACAGGCTTGCTAACATGACTGATAATTAGCTTCTTAGCTTTGCTCGTTTTTGTATGTTTAAGACAATCAAAAGTTGTTAATTGCAGTAATTGCCGAGCAGGTGCAAGTACTGTCTTTATCACTGTATTTTACATGATTGAAGTGGTTGGATTTACAGATGTACTCAAAGTGACTACTTAGGGCACCATCTTGGTCACAGCATAGCTGGATCATAGATATTATTAGTGTGACAACTGTTTATCAAGATTGTTTATAGTACTAAGCCTGGTTATTTTGAAAGTGTGACATCAACTTGTTTCTTTTACTGCATTTCCACTGATTATATTGACTGCTGCCCCCATGTTTGAAGAATATGCCCCACTGGCCACAGCAGGTATAAACTTCAACAGTGCTTCTATGGGCTCATACCCAGTCTGCACAGAACAGCGCAACAATTTAATCGTCTTTTATAAAAGCGAAAGACCGATCTGAAAAAATGATTAAAGCACTAACTTACTTAAACTTAAAATACTAAGGGCTCATACTCACTAAGAGCTCATACCAATGACAGGAAACTTGTAATTGAAGTATGTAAGGATGAAAGAGCGAGTACTGGGACGCGGTCACCACATGTAGCGGCTTTTCATCTCTGCTGTTTATCTTTCCTTCTAAAGTTTTTGAACAATAAAATACCCATATTCAAACTATATAGTGAAATAATAGAAGTAGATAACCATAAAAATAGATTATAACGATTTTACAATAAATTAAGGATGCAAAAAAATTAAGTATACAAAAAAATCCACCCACAACAATTATTATTTTTATTTGTGTTAACAACAGAATCGGGTGGACGGCGTCGACATTTAAGGTATGAACCTCTGAAGGTGGAGACAGCAGGTTAGTGACCACATCTTTCTGGAAGTGGATGAACGTAAACAAGTGAGTCACTAACTCGTCTTATAGTTCAGTCTGAGTCCAGAGGAAGCGGATTGTTCCGGGCAGCGGTTGTCACACAGCGAGTCCCAGATACTGATGTATTGGAGGTCAGAGGACAAGCAGGAGATCAGAACTAATGCAGATAAATGTAGGCAGGAT